GGGTTGGTTCAGTGGGTTGTGTAGGCTTCCTGGTGGAGGGGACTGGTGCCTGTGTTCTGGTAGACGAGGCCGGATCTCGTCTTTCTGGTGGGCAGGACCGAGTCCAGTGGTGTGTTTTGGGGTGTCTGTGAACTTAGTATGATTTTCAGCAGCCTCTCTGCTGATGGGTGGTGTTGTGTTCCTGTCTTGCTAGTTGTTTGACATAGGGTGTCCAGCACTGCAGCTTGCTGGTCGTTGAGCGGAGCTGGGAATTAGCGTTGAGATGGAGATCTCTGGGAGAGCTTTCGCCCTTTGATATCACGTGGGGCCGGGAGGTGGGCCAATGTCCTGAACTCGGCTCTCCCACCTCAGAGGCACGTGCCTGACACCAGGCCAGAGCACCAAGACCCTGTCAGCCACATGGTTTTGTTTTTCTTTAAGGATAATTTGCTTCATGGAGGAAGAAGTATAGGTTCTTCTGACTCTTTTCTAACTTGCTTGTTTCTCTTTAGGGCCTGACAGATTTGGTGCAGCAAGTTAGAAGGGAGAGTAGAGAAGATTCCTAGAGAATGTCTTAGCTACGCCTTCTTGCGGCCACAGGAAGCTGCAGTTGGTCCCGCCATCTCAGGGCGGATCCATTATTCCCTTCCCAGGACGGTGTATCTGAGGCAGGGCTTAGCAGAGGCGGGAGGTGGGGAAGCCAGCGTCTCTGAGGACGTCAAGGAGACATGAAGATGGCGAAGCGACCACTCTGGTGTGTGTTTTGCACTCACAGCACGTGTCAAGGGTTCATCGCCACACGGGGCCGGTGGCTCCTCTATCAGGTGGCGCAGGTGTAGAGCATTCACTCCTGAAGGACAATGACAGGACTGACAGGGTCCCCGAGACTCGTAGAGGACATAAACCTTAAGACTCTGCTTTCCAGGCACCCTGAACCCTGGACACAGGAGACTGGGCAGGATCAATACATGACTCGTGCCCAGCCAGTTCTTCTCTTGCTTTTGTTTTTAACCAGCCAGAAGCAAAGAAGCAGCTGAGCCTTCCAAGGGATGAGGGAGGCTTGGGCCGGCTGGCAGCCGTGCTTCATACCACGTGCAGGCGACAGAGAAGCAGAGACAGGTGACAGAAAGTCCTGGGACACCCCAGTCTATGGTCCTGGCCTCTCTGTGCTCCGGTCTTGCACCTTTGCCCTGCACATAGTGACCCGGGAACCTCAGATCTGTTCCATATATTTCTTTTCTGCTCAAGCCAATGTTTTGTCATTTGCGACCAGGTGAGTCCTGACTAATAGACTTGGGCTGCATAAGTGGCCGGTGTGACACAGCCTGTTTGCATCAGAGCAGTCCGGGTACTTGCCTCCCTGTGCTGTGCTCAGAGACACAAGGAAGACTCACGGTAGCCCCTCACACCACGCCGTCCCATCCAGGCTCCTGTTCCCCCACCTGCTCCCCCAGGGCTCTTTCAGCTTAGGCCAGCATCTGCAGTAGGGTATTTCATCCTACTTTTGGTGCATTTGTTTTAGTTTTCCTATTTGGGGCCAGTGAAAACACATCTGTCCATCCCATATGTGTCCATCTCCTACAAAGCAGTCGTAGTAAGACGTTAACTGTGGCATCCAGGTGGTGGGATGCTGTGTTCACTGTGTAATTCAGCTTCTCTGAACGCTCACAGATTTCCGTAGTAAATACTCAGGGGGAAATCTGCTTGCTCTTCTGTCCATCGCTGTTGCCTCTTTCTCTTCTGTTCTCCGGGTTTTTTGTCTTCTTCCTCTGTCCACTGAGGCGGACAGCAGAGAGGGTCAGAGCCAGACAGGTACAGGGGGATATGTCTCTCTGCTACTCCCTCCCCCAAGCCCCGTCCGTCATCCTCTTTTACAGGGTCGGGCCTGGGAATCCCAAGGACCAGGACGAGAGCTGAGGGTCTCCACAGGAGTATCTGCTTTTCCCCTGACATTTTCCTCGTGGAACAAGTTTCCAAAACACACACCGATCACATGCAGAGCGGCCACCATTTCATTGTCTTTAGGAAACACACGAGCTTCAGACCTTTTTTTGAAACACTGCTTTTAAAATATTTTAATGTATTCCAGAATCTCTACGGGTCTGTTCTGGGAGAAATGTATGTATTCATTTGAAATTCATATTAGGGCTTCCCTGGTGGCGCAGTGGTTGAGAGTCCGCCTGCCGATGAAGGGGACGCGGGTTCGTGCCCCGGTCCGGGAAGATCCCACATGCCGCGGAGCGGCTGGGCCCATGAGCCATGGCCGCTGAGCCTGCGCATCCGGAGCCTGTGCTCCGCAACGGGAGAGGCCCGCGTACCGCAAAAAAAAGAAAAAAATCCATATTAGAGATGTCTCCCAAATGTGCTATAGGTCAAAGATAATAAAAATTAAAATCATGGAAATAACAGTCAAGTCTGGGATATTAGAATAATAATCCACATTATATGTAGGACACTTTATCCACATTTACTCCTTGTGGCAAGTACGGTGCTCATCCCATCTCGGAGCTCAGGGCAGCTACCTGGCTTGCCTGACGTTTCACAGCTACAAAGGGGCAGAGCTGGGGGTCCCAATGCGGCCAGGGGTCCCGACCCCCTCTCCTCCTGTTCCCACATCCATCACCCCCGGGGAGAACAGGTGTGCTCGGGCATTCGATCCACGTCGAGCACTGCCAGGTAGCAGGTGCTCTCCTAAGCGTGAAGGACACAGCTTGTGGCAAACAAAAGAGCAGATGGTCCCGGCCCTCGCGGGGCTTCCAGTCTAGCCATGGGGAGACAACAGTAACCACGCAGGTGGGTGTGAGGGTGCTAAGAGCTGAGAAGGAAAACGAGGCAGGGCGAGGAAGATGGGCCGAGGCCACACTTTACACAGACTGGTCAGGGGTGCACCTGACAAGGTGACCTTGAGCACAGACTTAGGAGAGGAGAAGCGGCAGAGTGCAGGGCCGGGAGCGAGGGATGCCCCAGGCTGAGGGGCAGCTACCACGCCTGGCTCGCACGAGGGACAGCGCCAGGGCACCTGGAGGCCGTGTGTCCGGAGCCTGGGCAGCCTGGGGGGCGGTAGGGGTTGGACTTTGCTCCCCTCTGAGTCGGTGGGGAAAGCCTGGAGCGTATTAAGCGGAGAAGTGACATGACTTGTGTTGAAAGGACCACTCAGCTTCTGCTGAGAACGGAGCATAGGCCTCAAGTCAAAAGCAGGAAGGTGGTGGCATGTCCCTGGTGGTCCCCAGGAGGCCGTGGGAGCTGGTGGGAGTTGACATCTATTTTTAAGGTAGACAGCATTTTGCCGATGGACCACGGGATGTGAGAAAAGGAGGGTCCAAGGATGATGCCACGGGTTCTGGCCTGAGCGACTAAAAGATGGAGTTGCTGGGGACTTCCCTGGTGGCAAAGTGGTTTGGAGTCCGCCTGCCAATGCAGGAGACAGGAGTTCGAGCCCTGGTCCAGGAGGATCCCACATGCCGCGGAGCAGCTGGGCCCGTGTGCCACAACTACTGAGCCTGCACTCTGGAGCCTGTGAGCCACAACTACTGAGCCCGCGTGCCGCAACTACTGAAGCCCACGTGCCGAGAGCCTGTGCTCCGCAACAGGAGGAGCCGCCGCAGTGGGAGGCCTGCGCACCGCGGCGAGGGGTGGCCCCCGCTCGCCGCAGCTGGAGAAAGCCTGCATGCAGCAACAAAGACCCAACACAGCCAAAAATATAAATAAATATATATTTTTTAAAAAGATGGAGTTGCTGTTTACTCAAATGGGAAGAGTCACCAGGGGCAGGGGCGGCAGGTTTAGGGGGGCAGGAGAGATGGAGAGGAGAAAGAACAGATTCAGTTTTGAATAGGTCACCTTCAAGGTGCCTTGTAGACATCCAAGAGGTGGTGTCACAAAGGCAGTTGGAGGAGTGCTGGTTGGAGATGCAAATTTGTGGGTCATCCACACACGGTGATAAAATTCATGAGAGCAGAAGCTGTCACCTAGAACAAGTGTCCTCACCAGGGACGGTGCTGTCCCTCATGGAGTGTGTTGGAAATCTGTGGGGGCATCTTTACTTGCCACTGCAACTGGAGGTGCTACTGACACCTAAGGGACAGGAGGATGGAGATCGTGAACGTGACAGTCTTGCACAAAGAATTGCCCTGCATCCCACACGTCTCACGGATTCCACAGACACTCGGCGGTGGAGCATCTTCTTATTGTTATCCGAGTCAACAGCATCCCTTTGTTTTACATGTAAAAAACAGTGTATTTCTTGCACAACTTTAAGATACACTCAACTTTCTAAGAGTAACGAGGGGAGGCTGCACTTGGGTTCAGAACTTTACCAAGAGTGCTCAGCATTCAAACCAACACATCACGTGTCTCCCACGCAGCCTTCCTGGTATCTGAGACATCAGCACGACAACCCTGAATCCTGCCCAGAGCTGCCACGTCCACAGGGCTCCAAGGAGCACGGGGGTCCTCCAGCAGAGTCACGCACAGGCAGACATGGGTAGAAATGTGGTTTACTTACCTATAAGCGATGTTCCCTTTGTTTGGCTTTTATAGTTAGGATACTACACTGACTTCTCCAAAGTGTGTGTGTAGGTAGGTGACACGGTCTCTTGAGTTTCATCTCAGGGTGAGGAAGGAGGCGCCCCGGCCCACCTGACATTAGGAACCCCTGGGGGGTGAGAAGGAGCCAGCAGTGGAGCCCCCAGGGGCTTCCCGGGTCAGGGGAAAGGAACACGGAGAGGAGGGAGCCCAGCTGCAGGCGGGTGGGGAGCTGACACCTGGATTATGAGGATCCTGGTGACGCTGAGCCTGTCTAGTGGGCGCTGGGGGCAAACTCTGGCTGGAGAGTCCACATGGTCCAGGGCAGGGGATCCCAGTCACCCTGTTAAGCTGCACGGTTCCCCTCTCCACCCCAGGGCACTCCAACTGCATCCCCTTTGTTCTGCGCCTTTAGGTCAAGCAATGCCGGGGCTCCTGGGGCCTTGCTCACTGTCACGGGGCGCCCAGCAGCCCTGCCCTGTGTGTCCCGTCCATACCTTGCTGAGTCGGGACTCAAATGCCAGCGAGGTGGATGACTTGGAGCTCTTCATGCCGGGAGGAGGGGCGGGGAGGGGTCGCGCGCGGTCCACCCCACGGCTTCCCACTCTGGTGACTGGACTCCAGGGCTTGGCTGCACTCCGCATGTTTGTCCCAGTGGGTCCTTCTGTACAAGAGCAGAAAATAAAAAGCGTGTGTCCACACTTGAACCTGCTGAGACACATCACAGAGATCCATCCCCACGTGCCACGGGCACCACCGTGGCCACGGAGAATGAGCCTTCGGGATGGGGCTGCACATAGAGCATCTTACTACTGAGAAGGTACCTTTGCAGCAGGTTTCTTTCTCTGGCTTCACAGCAGCTTTCACCCAACTATTAACAACACATGTGCGGGCTTCCCTGGTGGCACAGTGTAAGAATCCGCCTGCCAATGCAGAGGACATGGGTTCGAGCCCCGGTCCGGGAAGATCCCACATGCCACGGAGCAGCTAAGCCTGTGCGCCACAGCTACTGAGCCTGCGCTCTAGAGCCCGCGAGTCACAACTACTGAAGCCCGCATGCCTAGAGCCCGTGCTCCGCAACAAGAGAAGCCACCGCAATAAGAAGCCCGCGCACCGCCATGAAGAGTAGCCCCTGCTCGCAAGCCCATGCACAGCAACGAAGACCCAACGCAGCCAAAACTAAATGAAAAAAATTTTTAAGTGCAATATTACTGATGCTCTGACATTACTCTTTGGAAAAATGATGGCTTCTCCTTGGTCAGGGGCACCTAGCACAGTCTTACTGAATATATATATATATATATATATATATATATATATATATATATATATATATATATCCACACA